TGAGCGCACCCTGCCCTGGAAATGTGATTCATAGACCCCTCACAATGAATGCAGAGCACTGGCTGAAGACCTAGCTAAAGATGCTGCCAAGGGAGGAAACACTGACGAGAGGTTATCTGGAGTCCTGGTGTTTTGGGGACACCGGGGCCTATTTGCAGACTTTAGTTAGGTCCTTATGGGAGGCGGAGACTCTCAGCCAGAAAGTCACTGCTGCGCCCACGGGTCCTAAGATTCATTAAAAGAGAAACTGCAAAATGTACTGGGGTGGGTGGCATGCTGATGTTGTGAATAAATACAACGGGGAAAAATGGCATAGTTGTTAAAATGATTCTTTTTTCCACCCTCCTACCTGCAATTTAAACAGGGATGGTAAAAACAATATTGCAAAGATCTGCAGGAAAATACACTGAACCTCTGTTTAAGCATTTTTGAATTACAGAGGAAATAAAAGCCTAACATAGCCTAAAATTGTGAACCCAGTCCATCTCCACATGTTGCAAAGAAGATTAAGCCTTGATCCAAATTCTTTTTAGTTTAGATTCTGTTCCACCAATGGATTTTCAAATGCCCGATAGTGTGTCCTTCCAGAAAATACATTATTATAAATTCCTGAAAATAACTAGGCAGTTATATTGGAAAAATAGAAAGCATCATTTTAGTAAATAGGCTTCCCAAAGTACATTATATCTGACTTACTCTAACAGTGAGCAGGACTTCCGTTTTCAGCCAGAATGGAGTGCCTTTCTTGTGTGTGCAATCCGTAAGCTAACTCCTAGATTAGTGCATTTTAGTCATAACCAGTTCAGGTGCCAATGACAAAAAGAGATCTTTTTTGCAAGTGGTTTCTCATTCTTCTCTTTCTTGTGAATCTGCATTACTTATTTGGCTTTCTTTTATATTCAGATAAAATGTCTGACCAAAATTTTTGACTTTTTCATTCTGTATTAGGCACCTAAATAATCATCTTGATTTTCACACATGCCGAGAGTTCACAGCCCCATTCAGGGGAATGCAAAGCTGCAAATACGTTCACTGATTCACAATCAGCTCTGCTTGATTTAGGTGCCTAACTTCAGGAGATTGAAAAATTTGATGTGTCTATTCTTGATGATGTTCAATGGCAAGCTATGCTTTTTTCATACCTTCTCCCACACCCAAATATAAAGTCAGTGTGGCCGTTGAGTCTAGATAAACAGCTAATCATTCACTGCTTGGATATACTTCTTTAATACAGTGCCAGAGCTTGATTTCTGTTCCTCCTTTTGGTGCCACTTTTTCTGATCTTCATCAGGTCATTAAGACCTTCCACCAAGTCTAGCCATCCACTAAGGCTCTTACGCTGAGGAGGCTTGTGCTCCCTAATTCATCAGTGGAGATAAATATGGAAATGGCTTCTTGACCCCGTGGACAGCATTTGGCCATGATGGTCCAAAAAGTGGACACTTCATTTGAAAAACTAAAGATAGGTGGGAAGAAGCTAGGCCTTAGTGAAAACATCAGGTCTCTGAATTGCTGCGATTCCTTGCCAGATAAATAAACAAATGGACCTACATGGGGTCACACTTCCAAAGATTTTATACACCTGAAGGTGCAGAGAGCTGCAGGAATACCAAGGCCATGTACATAACTGGCAATTCAGGACCTAGACATGTTCGAAAATACTGAGGGTCACCTAAGGGCCCTAAGCCTTGGGCATAATCCTGCAAATAGTTGCACGCTGAGTCTTCTTTCATTTTTTAGTCCTACTGTACTGAGGACAGGGTCAACTCCGCCTGGATTTAAATGGCAGGCTGAAGGCCTTACAGCCTGCAAGGGAGAGCACATGCTAAGACTTGGGCTGTCATTGCCGGAGAAGTGAAGTGCTAGCTGTGGCTTGCTTCTCTTAAGTCCCTGAGAGTTTTTTATTGTATCGGTAGGAAACATTAAAAGATTAAAACGTGGCAGAAAACTGTCACTAGCTGGTTCCGTTCTGCACTACCTGAAAGTTATCGCCTGGTTTATTCTAGCTGCGTGTGTCGGCGCTGAGCTGTTTGTTTCCCTGTGTTGTGATTAGATCCTGCTGGCTTTGTCAGGCATCGGAAAATGTGAAAAAGCGACTCTCTGGCCTCTCGTTGCTCACCAGCGCCGACACGGTTGTGCCCAGGCAGCAGGGGAGTGAAAGCTGATATGGATGTTAACGCCGGTGTGAATGGCGGTGGGTGGACCCTCAAATGGGAACGCTCAAGACACAGCTCACCTCCTTGGCGGGCTGCACAATCTGCCGGTGTCACCCCTGCCGTGGCTAACGACTGAAGTGAAAATTTATGGCGAAAGGAATGGGTCCCCTGCTGTAATTATGCAAACTCTTGCAATGGTGCTGCCTGGAGCAAAGTCACACTTGATAAATAACAGGCCAGACAAACAGTGACTTAGTGTTCGTCTATTAAAATCATCTGTTTTCCCTTTCAGCTGTAGATAAACTTTGTTGAGAGTTGCTACGTATTTATATCAAAGGAGTATCTGGTTGGAGAAGGAAAAAGTGGAGTCTTAACATATCTTAAAATTACACAGGTCCAAATAATTGCTACTAGTGCTCGAGCACTGTTCTGCAGCTAAATTAACGGGGCTAGAAGCGTGAGAAATGCCAAAAAGTGCCTTTCATGCAATCTCCTAGTGTAAAGAGAGCATCTGATGGGAACATGCCTCCTCGCTCGGGTTTGGACGTGTTAGGAGTTGCTTTCGCTAGCAAAGCAAATATTTGGTGACAGAACTAGATGTAGAAAGCGCTGCCTAGCAGGAAAGTGTGAAGTATTCATAATGCTATGAAATACTACTCAAAATTCAATGTTTTTCACATTCCATTGCGAACTTAAACATTGGGCTCCTGTCACAGAAATTTCTGCTGCAGCAGACACAATTTCTAGTATAAATGGGCTTGCTTTCAAAAGAAAATGGGACAGTTTTCAAAAGAAAAAAAGGCCAATTTATAAGTAAAAATGGGGCTTTTTCCAGCAAAGAGGTTTACAAACATGTAGTGATAAATGGCTTTACAAATTTTCTATACAACAATAACAGCTTCTTAATGAAAATAATGAAAAAGTTACATTTTTGGGAAGGGCAAGATGCTCTATACAGATTTTAATACATTAAAAGCATTTTAGAAAAGAAATATATGAAAAGTGGCAGGGGTATCTGATTTTCTAGTAGACCACGTATTTTTAGAATTAAATATATCTTCTGGCTTGACCTGTCAATTTTACATGCAATCTTATTGCTTTGGATTAGGTGATCTGTTCAGTAACTAGTCTTGTTCCATTGGTCTCGGCCTAAAAATATTTCAGGATCTAAACAGTAAAGGATTGGGACCTCCTTAGACATGCTGCAGGCAAGGTGTTGTGCCGTCCCCAGGGAGATGCACAACGTGCCATTTGGTGCAAGCTTTCAAATCAATTAGCTGCAGAAGAGACTGTGTGGCCTGAGAGTTTGCTTTGCTACGCTGGAGAGGAAAAGTAAGTCTCTCTCAAATTTTAAAAGGCATGAGCTTTATTGCTATAGGATAAACTCTACCCCAGCCTCCTTGATTCTGCTTTACAAGGCAGTTTATGGGTGGCAGATGGAGACCACTGTGTTGCTATGTGCAGTTTCATGCCTCTTGTCTCCTTGCATTTTAATTTTCGGGGAAAGTGTTAGATGAAGGGCATAGGAAGAGTGATCTCAGAGCCGCGCAGCCTTGGTTCTCGTATGTGCAGTTGGCTGATAGAGCAGGTTTGAGGATTAAAAAAGCTCATTGGCAATGGTGCTTTTCCAGATAGTCCTTTCTCCCTGCAGGGCCTTAGCCATCCTTTCAGGCACCAGCATTCAGCTTTGCCCCTGAGATCCAGGCTTGTTTTTTTAAGGAAGTTTTGAAAAACCACCCCTGAGCACATGCATTATTCTTACCATATAGCTTTAAAGGTGACCGCAGCACTTTCCCATCTGTGTCCTCCACTGACAATGCAGCACATCTGGTCCCTGGACAGATGGTTCCATATGAGGCAGTCATACAAATAGGGAAAATATTCATTTTAATTAGGCGCCCGGTCTTGTCTCCAGTGAAGTCCATGTCAGAATTCTCCCCGAGTTGCATGGGAGCTGGTTCTGATGTTGCTAATAACTCCCTTTGATGGGCTGTGTTAATACCCAGTTGTACAGTGGGCCACCAGATGTGTGTCCATGTCTTATGTGAGACAAGTGAATTACTGATGCTGTAGCATTCCCACTGCAGAACTGCAGCCCCAGTTTGTTTTCTCGAAGTCATGGTTGTCATTATGGGGATGGAAACTGAGAATGGCTTACGCTATGGACCTGTGCAGATGGTGCTGTCTGGCTTTACAGTACGTAGGCGGTCAGATAAGTAACAATGCTCATGACATAGAAATTGGATATATAGATGTAAACCATTAATGTTACTATGCACACTTGCTTTGCAGAATGACTGTGTCAGTTGTTGCCCGTTTTTAGAAACTGCTTTCTTGTTTTTTACAATGAAGCAAATTTAGATTACCATTCTAAATGCCAATATGCAGAATGCATGAGATTTAATAAAATAAAGTGAATTTATATGTAGATTGTGACATTAGTATTTAATTATGTACCCATCATAACACTGATGAGGCATGCTGCTAAATATTGGTGCACTGAAGTGAAAGCTTATCCTGAAAGAGTGGGTATGTTTTATTTTCTTCCCTCTTTCCTAATCTGTTTAAATAGCAGGATTGATTATAGACAGTTTACAAGTATTCACTTATTATTCCTTCCTTCATACTGTATGCCAACTAAGGTTTGCATCGTAGCAACTGAAGCTCAGAGGAAAGCTGTGCTTCTCTTTTGGTAAGGCACTAACTGTAATCCTAGATCCATTTCTGTACTGTATTTTATCAGACCAAATTAAGATTTATTTTATTTTATTTTAATATAAAGTAAAATAAGTATGTAATTTAGTTGAATTTTTTTTAACCTTTCCCTTTCTGTCATTTTTTCAGACTATGGAAAACCCCAAATATGAGCTGGTTATAGAAGCTAAGGACATGGGTGGTCTTGATGTGGGATTAACTGGCACAGCGACTGCCACTATTCTTATTGATGACAAAAATGACCATCCACCAGAATTTACCAAGAAAGAGGTAAGAATTTGCTGTCTGTGTTCTACAAAACGTTGCATGGAGTTGTACTTGGCTTATTTCTAAATGTAAAAATATCACTTAAAAGAAAAGGATACCTGGAAACAGCACTGATAGAGGTTATTTCTTTTTAGCAAAAGATTCATTAATTTGAAAAGCTGTGATCAAAAATACTTCTTTTTCTCTCGTTGTACAATTAATGTTGTAGAACCACTCAGTTTAACTTCCATTAACCTCAGTGAGTGGGCACCAAGGAAAGAGATCCTAGCAGAGCACAGAGGGGCGCCCCAGGACTGCATGCAGGTTGAGTTACAGCTCTGGCCTGGCCTCAAGCCCCTCTCCTAGCACTCGGGCCCGAGCTGGGCACAGTGCCACTCCAGCCCTAAGGCCCTAATTTGTCAGCCTATAACCCTGCCCTGCTGTGGAGCTTGTTCCAGCTCTTAGACCAACCCTAAGATCTCTGTAGTGTTCTTTAGCCTGAGTGTTTTGTCCTTGTCGCATATATCGTTTTAGCTCAACGTGTTGGGCTTTCTGTGAACTGCACCTTTCTTCTTCGGCGTTAGTAAATTTTTAAGTATCGTTTCCAAAGCAGAGTGCAATCACAAGGTTAAAATTTATGGCAAGGGATATTATTGAGAGGTTAGCTAGCAGGCTGAAAATCTGTACGTTGTGTTTGCTAGTGGGAACTTTCTCTCTTTCCTCCTGCGAGAGTTTTCCTCCTGTCTGCATTCTAGCTTAGGGCTTTATGATAGGGAACACGGATGAAAGCAACATATTTTGTCATGTCTTCAGTACTTCACCTGTGAGACAGCTGGTGTTGACAGTTCTGTAATGAAAACTGTAGTCCGAAAAGCTTTAAATTTCACCTACTGGTGAAATTTGCAAGGAAAATTTTTGCCCTGCAAGTTGAATTTCATTCAACAAGGCTGAAAAGCCTGGGGAAAAAAAATGAAACTCAAACAAAAGATACTCATTACGCACAGGAGAGTGTCGTACTGCTGCAGCAAAGTTTCTGGTTTCAGGCAAAGCATCTACCAAGTTGCCAGCTCTTCCCACGCTGCTCCTTTCCCTCCCCTACGTTTGTCATTAGTCTGGGGGTTTTTTGCCCCTGGCATCCGGAGAGAATTAAAGGCTATCAAGAGTTGTACCTAATAAAAGCTGCATTTGGATTTTACTATAAAAGTTTCCTGAAGGTCTACAATTTTAAGGAATATTCCCAAAAGATGAGAAGTAAGCACTGGGGATGCTGGTTTCAAGGTAATTTTAGAAGAAGAAAATGAAAGCCTACTGTTATAAAAGTCTTGTTTTTCTCCTTTGGGTATGTTCTTTCTGTTCTTATCTTATTTTTCTAATATATTTTCCTGGCCTAATTTTAGCCATTTGACAACAGATTATTTAGAACCAAATTGCTGCAATTTTACTTGAATAATTACACCTTTTTATAAATGCAAATTGGATAACAAGATTAAAAAAAAGATGGAAGAGGATTAGGAAAAAGCAAAAAGAATAAGAAATAAGAAACAATGACAATTTTGCCAACAGGAATAAGAGTTTTTGCTAATCAGAGGCAATAACTGTAATTACTTTAAGCAAAATTCTTTGGCAAGAACATTTCAGTCACCAGAAAAGTGATGTGAAGAGCCTGATCCAAACCTTTCTGGTAAATAAGCAGTAACTAAGTGGCTTTGATGAAGCTTTTAATTCCCTTAGAATTGTCCTTTAGGTCAGGCCCTTAATGCTCTGAGAGCTATTTCCTGAGAATCAATAGTTGAAAGATGTATAAAACATATTATTTTAGAGTTCTGGAACATAATTAGCAAAGTGAAGGACAAGTCAATTTAGAGAAATAGGAAGTAATTGTATTCATCATCATTAATAGCAATTCATGCCATTTGGAGTCCTACATACCTGAATCGAGATTTCTCCTTTCGCAGAAGTCTATTTTAATTATGCATCCTGTTTGCCTTAATGATTTTCTCTGGTAATTTGGGCTAGCCTGTTAAAAACTTGGGTGCTTCCTTAGTTCCTAAATCTGGAGAAATTTCTAGAGAAATTCAAAATCGTTCATAACTGCAGTTCAGTCAATGCTCATGAAAGGTACTCCTGGAAGTCTGGTGATTTCAGTATAGAAATACAATAGGAAGCGTGAAGGAATGGTATTATGTAGCTGTCTTTGAAAAGTCTGGTCTTACACGTCTTTCTTGCGCTCTATATGACATACAGATTTTCCTATTTAGGCTCATCTCTTTTTTTTTTAATACATTGTAACATGGTTTTGAACCCCTCATTACAATTCAGAATCGTTCATGACATCAGAAATCTTCCTTTTGCCTTACTAAATGGTATGCTTATTGCGTGCACAGAGCAGGAAAAGGCAGTCTTCAGAGGTATGGCATCAGGCCCCTTTACAAAGATTATACGTGCTCTGTTTAAAATAAGTTGTTTGGGGAGATGAAGAACATCTATTAATGAAGCTAGTGCCACTTTCTTTGGCTTACTGCTTAAAGAACCCAGTTATTTTATTTAAATACCAGTCACATTCCACATGCTGCAATGCTATTGATTTGATGAAGACTTGAAAGAAAAGACATATTCTACAGGATAAGTTTTGAAGTAGGAAACTCAAATACAGTAAATCTGAAGGTTTGATTTCAGCGCACATCCTCTTTTATTTACTTTGAGACTGGCTGCTTTCATATTGGGTTCTTTTAGTACTGATGTGTTTTTCTCACTATCTTCCTTTTCTTTAAAGATATTTTCTAGCAGTGCCATTTTATCTTTTATGAAACAAATGCGTATTTACTGGCCTGTGTTTTCTTCTAACAGTATAATTTCTACCTAAAATAGCTCTGCCTTTATTTGTCATTTGCTGCTGATGTAGCTCAATTAAGCCAAGTTTTCAATGCCTTCTTTTCATCTGCAAACACAGCGGCTAACTTCATTCCCGATCTGATGCGATGAAAGCCAATAAAGTATATGTGAGCTGGGTTGGGTTGTGAATATTGTTTCACCATCACTTAATCAAAAGTCTGGGCACTCTATTAGTACAATACTGGGTACCCCAGGGTGTGTATTAAATGGTGTTTTGCAGAATATGCCTTAATATAGCTTCTATGTGATTGATATTAATACCAAATCAAAAGTCTAATGATTTTTGGAGCTTTCTTTCTCCTAAGTTGAAAGCTAATAGACACTAGCTTCTATTTCCATGAAACCTTATGAGAGTTAGCAGTTATATATGAGTTTTTCTGAGTCCTCAGTGCAGGGCAATCTCAGCCACGGTTGGATATGTCTCTGTTCAGTGAAGATGAGTTTCATCTTTTGACACTTGACCAATCTCATCCTTTTGTTTTCCTCCAGAAGCTGATTGTACTGCCTGTCTTTGAAAAAAGTTTATAGATCTACCCCTAAGCAGTGATACTTGTTTGTTTACTCCTGTTTATTGTGTTTATTCCTTGGAGGCCAGCTTCTTTTACATCTACTCACAGCACACATTAATGGGCTTTGTTTGGTGTTTTCAGAAAGGTCTGAACGCTCCTTTGCTCCTGTACACAGTTTTGCAGTAGCCCCTAGTGGTGTTATGTGGATTTTGTTGGAAGAGGAAATGTTCATCTAGTGAATCTCTAGTTTTATCTGCTATTTTTGCATACCAAAACCATGCCATTCTGCTGCATTTGTGGCCTTCCTGCCCGGGGAAAAATTCACTGATGGTATGTCAGGACATAGTTGCACAAGATGTTGAGCAGCCTGGCTGTGATCCAACAAAGCACTTCCATTAGCTTCAGAGGAATTGTTTAAGCCCTTGAGGTTATAAGCATGTGCCAGGTACTTTGATGGGCTAATGTATTAGACATTGCTTTGTGGGATTCAGCCCAGTTAATTATCTTGTTATGCCCCATCAGTATATACATCTCTCAAAATATCTGCCTTGTTCTATTTCGCATATATACTTACCCCTACTGCTCATAATAGCATCCGAGCAGTGCAAAAATCCATTCCGACATGCAAACAATACCTTGTTCCCTCTGGGGGTTTAATAACTTCATCTCTAATGCCTAAAAAGAGCAATATTTCAAACACTCCTCCAAAAATCCTCAGGTGAGGTAACAAGGTCTACCCTTTAAAAGGTCACAATGGGCAGGATATCATGCCAAGTTTAAATTATAGAGAATGAAAATAGAGATACTTGTGAATTTAGTGGCCTTTTATCAGGAAGTTTTTAAAATTTACAGTCTTATTTCTGTATATGGAAGGGTTTTAAAGTGAATTTTACGAATTATTACACATGCAACATTTATTTTCACAAAGAACATTTTCTTTCCAGCAAGCTAAGGCTTTAGGCTCAATTTTTGTTCAGAAATAAGGGAGTGCTTGTGTAAAAATAAGTAATGAAGCAAAGCAAAGAGCAGGAATTGATAATTCTGAAAAACCTGATATCTGGCTCATGTACTGCAGGATATTCGAACTGCTTAGGAATGAGTTAGCTTAGACTGAGTGTATGCTAATTGTGCTGAGAATTGTTTCTATACCTAGCACAGTAAGAAAAATGAGGATAATTTTCTTGTGTCACTTTGTAGCAATTGGCAACAGACCACTGTGATGTTATGTGCCTGCAAAGCAGTGATTTTTAGACTATAGTTAGTGTCACTGTTGGTGAAACATGATGAAGGATTAGCAATATAGCATCTACTGGGAGCCGTGAACTGGTAAATACTTCTCTGTACCTGTTCCAGCAGGCAAGGTTCTGGCCTTGCTTCCCTAAGACCTAGGGGAGGAAAACCCGGATTGTTTCAACATGATAGCAACATGAGTTTCACCCCTTCCTGACTCTGCTTCCTCCTAGTCCAGGGAATCCTCCCTCTGGGCTTGTATCGTTCCTCAGTGGAGAATATATGCTCAAAAATGGCATTCCACAGAGCCCGTTTGCCTCCCTCTTCTCACTTCTGTCCAGACTTTTTCAAAGTATCTGTTCCTAAAGGAAGACGCTTCCATTACTCTTTAAT